AACGTGTCTTCCAAAGGTCGCTGAGTATTCCGCGAACTCATCCCAACCGCCACTGAGAGTTCGTACCGTAGATGGGTTAGCTCTTGGCCGCTGAATGCGAATCCGGCCAGTCCATTATTAATAATAAGGACAGCCTGGATTCTGTGACATAGGGCCGTATCCGATATTTGTTGAAAACTCGGAGGTGACGCCGTCGAGTCCCTTGCACCTTGGCGTCTCCGCACATCACTCGACCGAGGGTTCGTCGCTTGAACAACTTGGGCGGTGTCACGTCTTTGTCGACGGGTGATAATCCGCAACCACGGAGAAATCACTACACCACACGCCTTACGATAGTCTAGGAGAAGTATCAGTTCGCTGAACGCCGCTTTCAACTCGGGATGAGCTGTCGCTTTTGCTAATACTGCTAGCATCATCACTACCGTTTTAAGCATCTGCCTGCCGTGCACAAATCCCTGCTGTGATTCGCCAATTGGTTTCCCCAGCACCCGTTGAGTTCTTGTCGCTATGACTTTGGTGTGAACTTTGTAAGCTGTTTGCAACAACGAGATGGGCCTAAAGTTCATCGCATCCGTGGAGTCACCTTTCTTTCGTAGCGGGATGATAAGGCCCTCTAGGAACGATCGAGGAGGGTCGGCTCCCTTCAAAAGCTCGTTTCCAATGGCCACCAATGCTGGTACCAGTACCGCTTGGTGGTCCTTGAAAAAATCATTGTTTAACCCATCCGGCCCCGCCGCTTTATGACGATTCAGCGCCCGAATGGCCTGAATGACCTCATCCTCTGTAATGGGTTTCATCAGCTCCATGTTGTCCGCCATGGAGAGCAGCCGCTCAGCAGGTATGGTGACGAAATTGTCAAATTCTTTTTCTAGGGTCTGCCCTGCGTAAGCGTTGTGAACTTTGCCGAATATAGGCTGCCACTCGGACCCGAATTTGCTCGCTATATTCATTCCCCGGGTAAACGGTTCCCCGTTGATTCGTCCAATCGAGGAGACCGTCTGGTCCTTCTCTCAGTTGGAGACGCGTTTGTAGTCCCATCGGAGCTGGTCCATCGTCCGCTCTAGCTTTTGACCTAGACGGATTAGGTGTTCTTGGCGTGCGTCCTCTTCGGAAACTTCTAGCAGTCCGCGTCTGGTGAAAATTTGTGCCCGGTTTTGGGCCCGCAACGCAGCTACTGACTGCTTCCGTCGCTGTGCCTCGCTCCGAGTGATTTGCCGTATGCAATCTTCACACTTTCCTGCCGTCTTATCCCACGTACGTGTCGATTCCTCTCTCCCAACTCCCACACGCATGAGTGCTTCCAATACCGCTGTTTGAACTCTTGCCGGCTGGGACGATCTAATTGGGTAGATCACTGACCTGCGTCTGCGACGTTGCCTCCCTGTGTGTACTTTGTCGCTGATATGTAGCCGTACCCGCTGATGGTCCGAGGGGGCCGCCGGTTCTGCTACTTCAACTCGGCCAATCTCTGCTGTCCAGCTACACGGGACGTAGTAGCGGTCAATTCTGCTTGCCGCATTAGGTCCCCAGTATATAAAGAATTCGGTTGGGTCTTGGCCCTCTTCCTCCTCATCATCAGCTAGTTCTTCAAGAATCCGTGCATCTTCTAGCTGCAGTTGTTGAACAAGCCCGGTTAAGGCATTACTTTCTGGTCGACCTGACCGTTTGCCTCCAAGTCGGTCAAGAGGCGGACTCTGAACGCTGTTAAAGTCCCCTGCAATGATCGTGTCGGCAGCTGTCCACGTCCACTCTTTTAAGCGTGTGAAGAAAACTTCCCTGTCGCTGTGAAGGTTGGGCGCGTAGAGGTTTACGACCTGCAGTGTTCCAATTGTGATAGCTAGCACCCGATTAGTCCACTTGTCTTTTTGCCACGGACTCACCGTGTCTGCGATACTTGGGTTGAGTAGAATTGCTACCCCACCCTGATTGCTGTCATGTATACTCCAATATGACAAGGTGGGCCCGCCTGACTGGATGCGTCGTCCCCACAATCGATGCCATTGTTGTTGGAGCTCCTCCGCTTCGGCCTCGGAGCTCACGTGAGTTTCTTGAATTAGCCATGCCATTGGCCTTTGTTGCACCGGTGTCCGGCGCCATGCACTGAGCCACTTCATCCTAGTTTTTTTGGTAAAGCCTCGGACGTTTTGGAGTTCAAGTCTGCGATGCCGCACTCGTCCTGTCCGTGGTTTTCTTCCCAACCTTCCGCCGTCCTCATTTCGCAAAAACATAGTCCGCCCGTACTCGTCACTGCCATCTCCTGTCCAACTCCCCCCCCCTTGGCGATCAGGAATTATGTGACTACTAATCATATTGGCTAGTTGGACCCGGTCCCCCGTGTTCGATCTCTGTGTCGAAATAACGAGCCGTTCTAGTCCAGTTAACGTTCACTCCGTCTGGTGTAAACGCTTTCCTGAATGCATTTGCGTCTTTGAGGGCTGCAAGGTGTCGAACCAGCCTGGAACGGACTCCTTGTTCGTCTAGTTCCTCCTGGTGGGTTAGCACTTTGATCGCTTTGTCATACAGTAGAGAGCAAAGAATGTGTTGTGCCAGTCGCAACTTGTTGGTAGTGTCGCACAGCTTCAAAATCTCGTCCTTGCCATATCCATTTCCTCGTAGTCGAGTCCAGTCGATAGTGTTGTCCGAAGCTTCGTCCAGATTTTTCGTTCTTGGGCGAGCGATCCTGGTTCGCCAGTCCTCAATCCATTGTTGCGTCGCTTTGTCCTTGCATCTCGTGACGTAAATGCCTAACTGGCCATGTAAACATTCCCGTCTCCACGCGGCCGTCCACTGTTGTAGTACCGGTTCCGCTACTGCTGTCAGCAATTCATCCGGATATGGGAACCGTTGTAGAAGACGAACGAGCTTGGCTGGTTCTCCTTTTGCAGCTGCTGCCCATTGCGTAGTATTTCCAGTGGCCAATGGGAACTCGGACTTGGCGGACGAAGGCCAGGTTGTCCCGAGCTGCTGCCACAGCTGCGACCAATTCGAACGGTTCACCGTCGCGGCGTCATTCCCTGGCCCTACTTCATCCTCGTCCATTGGGGTCGGCTGATGCGTGTGAGATTGCGAGTCCTGTTTCGCCCGCACTAGAAGTCGTATTTGCTCGCCTTCCATCGGTGTGAGGGTGTGAGGCCTCTTTTGAACGGACTGCTTCGACTGGAAGTACTGTGGAGCTGCACTCCGAGTTTCCTGCGAGCTTTCTGGTGAACTGGACTCTGAGGGAACGTAGTCTGCATCCGAGTCAATTTCTGCTTCTGGTTGCACCCCCTCCTCGTTATCCAATTCCTCCTGCGCTGTCTCAGCTGCAGACTGCTGCCATTGCCGAAGGACTGCAAGGGAAATCTGATACTGCTGCAACATGTGGCGTACAACCGGTGAATCTTGGGTATCCAGGCGGGTCGATAGTAACGCTGTTCGTTCCTCAAGTGAGAGCGCTGAGACAGTATTGACCAAAAAGGCTAGGCGTTCGGTGTACCTAGCCGGATCTGCCTTGTCAAGGATCAAGTGGATCTCACATTTGAGATCATGCGGAATTGACATTCCTTTCATTCGTTGCTTCAATTCGGGAATGCTCCCGCTCCATTTGGCAGGGTCCCATGGATCCATATCTGCATCTTGGCTCTGATCCGCTGACGAACTGGAATCCGCCGCCCTCGCTGTAGCTGTCGACATCTGCACGGTTTCGCTACTCTCTGCATCGACTTCCGCCTCCTTAACCTCTTTTTGGCGCGTATGTACGAATGCGGAGTAGTGATTGCCCCAGAAACGGACAACTAGCGGCGGCGTCTTGTCTTTTCGTTTGGCCTTTCGGATTTCTGCTAAGCATCGCCCCACCTGGAGCGGAATCTGCTGCCCTGTGTCGTAAGTCTTGCGACCCTTGGACAGCAAACTGGGGCGATACTTGGAGCAGTACCAGAGATGTTTACCATCCGTGTTATAGGCTAGCACGTAGATTGGTCTCTGGAGAAAGTTTGCCGCCGCGGCCATGAGCTCGCTGCTGCCCCAGACTTCTCTCGGGAGAAGCTCATCCCGTTGCGACGACGAGCTCGCGAATTCCTCCAAATACCATCTAAATTGCTTGCTGGATTCTTTCGAGTCCATTCCATCCCAGCCCCGGCCTACGTTGACCAACGTATTGGCTCGCGTGAAGTGGTCGTATTGCTCTGCGTTGTTTAACAGCGCTGACCATTTAATGCCTCGCTTCAGCGTTGATGCGAGTTGTTCCAGTACCTTGCCATACGCTGCAAGGTCATGGTCCACGATGGCCTGAGAAAGTGCCATCACCATGCAATTGCCGGTTGCTGGTGTTGCAACTTGTCGAAGTCCTAGCAAAGCCTCGATCTCCGGGAAAGACGTAACCGCTTGGCTCGCGTCCCCACTACTTAATATGAGCTGCCCTTAAACTGTGACATGGAATCCTTGAGGGTTTCCATCTCTTCCCGCTCCCGTTGCTTTAGCGCTACTAATTGGGGTGATTCAATAAGTTTTGGTGGTTTCGCCTTGACCAGGCGCAGTTGTGCTCGTTCCTGTGGCGTGAGAGTACGAGGCTTCGGACTTTCAGATTCCTCGCTGGACGATATCTCGACCGCAGCTTAAACTAAGGTAGCTTCTCTCTATCTCCTTTGTTCTCATCTTCTTCTTCGAATACTGCAAACCTAGAAGAGATTCCAAACCTTTTCTCGGCTAACGCTGCTGGATGCGCGTATAGGGTTCTCCCTCGCGAAAGCGGAACGGTGGCCCACTTCTTTTGGGGTTGAGGCGCTGGTGGCTGGGACTTGCGGTTGTCCGATGCTACCGGCCCCACCGGATACAAACCCGATGTTGACCCACTGACTCTCTGTGAGTCCAGGGAGCCGAGATCTGGTGCTGGCGGTGCTACCGCCTCTCGCGCTTTGTTTTGGTGGGCTTGATGCACCGAGAGTCTCGTCTCTGCGGCTTTCTTGAACTCCGAGAGACTGGCAAAAGGTCGCGCCATATCTTCCAACTTCGTTACCTCCGTGTCACTCGCTACGCGGCTGCCTTCTCCCTTGAGTTGCTCCACTGTGTACCGGCATCGCACCATCGTGTGCCCCACGTTCCCACATTGGAGACACTGCAGACGGTTTCCAACTGCTGGATGTTTAAGCACCAGTGGCCGACCATACCAAATTACTCGCACTATCCCCCGCAAAAATTCCGGGCATTCAGCTGTCTTCATCGTAAGTCTCCACACTACTGAAGATCTGGATTCCGGATAATAGACATCTAGGTTTTCAAACTCAATGTCTGCCTTAATGTGCGCCTGTAGGTACGCATTTAAGCGCCCAACATCCGTGCACCGGGGTACATTGAAGATGTCCACCACATATTCTCGCTGCGTGTCCGTCCGTACACCGTCGTTGCCCAATTGCCTGGCCCATATCGATCCTGTATCCGGCTGATGCGGGTTCCGAAGCCTGTAAACGGCTCGCTTGAACGGAACTTGGGTGTCCTGGAACCGACGGGCCGTTGCTCGGTCGAAAGTGTGGAAATGAATGCTGCGTTTCGTATGGTCATAGCTAATGGTCTTGACCAAATGCAGCATTTGACGTAAGTCGTTGCTCGAGACACCGTGCTCCTCTGCAGCTAACAAAATGTCATCCTTGAGTGCTCTGGTGGCTTGCCTACTGGGTTTGACAGTGACCCATCCTCTGAGCTGTAGGATGAGTTCTCCTTCGACTTGTTTCTGGATCGTTCCGTAGAGACGGAGACGTTCCCTCGAGTCTAATACGCTCTTAAGGAAACCTGGCGCTTTCCGACATAGAATGGTTCCTTCCACCATGCCCGTGATGATCTTCCATTCGTCCTTGGAGCCTTCTCGAAGACCTCGTCCACTTGGTGCCGCTGGGGGCCTTTCACACAAATTTCGTAGCAATACGATGTCTGCTTTAGGAAAGACCGCTGGATTGAACATGTACATGGTGTACTGAGGAGTCCCCGCTTGGTCGGATTCAGTGCCTACTGCTCCACCAGCTCCAGTTCCTCGCTTGACTTTTTCTGCCCATTCGGGGTCTCATGCGCCCATTTGACCCTGCTGACCATACTCTGCATGATGTGCTTGAAGGACCACGTTGTGTTGTAGAGGTCTTGGGTCGCCGCTGTTGCCAGCCGGACCCAGTCTACGTAACTGCCTTCCGCCACTACACACGCTTCCTTGAACAACTTGCATAGCCAAGTTCGGTCCTCGCCTTTCAGCTTCGGATATTGCCGCTTATTTGCTGGCACCATCTCCACATCAACATTGACTGTATCGTGTACTATCGTGTACAACGTCACTATTGTCTCCATCCATTCCTCACGAGGCTTCTCCTGTGGCGCCACACTCACCACTGCCCCGAATAATTCTTCCGGACAAGCCGGTGAAGGAGGTTGTCCCGTCTCTCCATCCTGGGTTCTCGCTGGCGCTGCTAGGGAATGACCGATGGATGGAGGATCTGCGTCTCCTGCTGCTCCTACGGCTCCTGCTTGGCTCTCTATTGTTTCCGTTCGTCTGGGAGTGTTTCCGGATACTGACTCTGCCAGATCCGGTTGCGACTCTTCGCGTTGGGAATCCTGTGTTTCTCCAACGATGGAATCTTGGCTGGCCCCGAAGCTGCTATCATCGTGCTCGCTTTCCACGTGCTCCTGGTTCTCGCGGTCATCAGGATCCGGAAGTGACGCACATAGAAACCGTGAGAGGCTTTGAAGCGCAGGAATTTGCCAAGACCACTGGAATGAACTGCTTATGAGACGAGGTGACGCTAGCGGGTTTTAATCGACAGCCGCAACCGCGCTGTCCATGGCATCGGGTGTTTGGCACAAAAGCACGTTGTCGCTGTCGGCCGAAACCATGTCCTTAGGTATGGACTTGCTGCCTGTAGAGCTCCATGGGGATCCACTCGTACTGAAAAACGCTGTAAACCCTTGAATCTGCGCGAACTGATCTTTGGTTACGTTGAAGCCCTTGATCTCGTTGCCCTGGATGTATAGCGATTCCAATCTGCTCGTGTTGAGCGACGACCCCGGAAACCGTGAGAGCGTTGTGAGACAAGTACACTCCTTCAGTGTGGAGTATGTGCCGTCCACATACTCGGTGTGGATGCTTTCCACGACAAGTCCAGGTATTGGATCCAATTCGCGCATGAGGCTACTGCTGGGCGTCGAAATATTGCAGTCGCGCAGCGTCAGGTTCATCACAGTAACCGGCACGAAGGCAATGTTCGTCTTCGCCACGGAGCTCAGATCAACGTTGTTAATCGAAAAGTCGAGGTGTTCGTGGAGTTGCTGACGACGGTCAATGAAGAGCTGGAAATCACGCGGTTTTCGTTGATGGATGCAATTTCAGCTGAAGAATCTCCAGTACCTTCGATCTGAAAACTGTACAAACTGGAGGGGACCCAAATGGGACGGAAGGCGGTGAGCACCAGCTTATCCAAGGGGTAAATGCGTCATCGTCCTGAGCATATTGGTCCGCACTCGGTTCGGCTTGCGGACATGCACATGTGGCAGTTTAATCCCTTTCGACCTGCACCAGAAGTGCGAATTTTGCAGCGACATACTATGTCGTGAATTCTACTGTCATTTATGAGGTCTGTAGTGACGGCTCGGACCTGTATGAAGTGGAGGAAAACAAAGTATCCAAGAAGAGACTCTGTGTACGTCATTAACGTTGACTCGTGCATCTTCGAGGACGAAGACTTCATGGCTGCATTAGGTCCAGCAGTGACCGACGACGACTACGGTGAAGATTTCGTCGAGGACTACGAGTGTGAATGTGAATGGCTCTGAGTCAATTGGGTGTCTCGAGTGTTCATGGATTGAGACTGGTACTGATAAAATTAAGACATACTGAGCTGACTTTGAATCAACGGATGCTTGCAATTCGCCTGTGATTGCGACTGGCTGAGCTGCGACTGAGTGAGTCGAGGACGCTCGAATAGAGTAGACTTCTTCAGTCCATTAACCTGTGCGTTCACAGGTTTATCAAGCGTTTGCAGTGTTCTCGGATGGTTCAGTACATTCTCTGGATACAGCTCCGACACGTCATCTCGAAGTCTCAATTCAAGAACACTAGAAACAGTCAGCTAACGCAGAGTCGACTCAGTTGCTCCCAGCCTGGAACCTCAAGGGAAAACGTGCTGTCTCACAGTTAACTCACTGAATCGCAGAGTTCAACTCAATTCAAGGATACTCAACTGACCCAAAGCCAATTGATCACTTCCAGGAATCGCAGCTCACTCAGAGTCAACTCAGTCAATCGCAGAATCAATTTAAGCAACACGATTCAAACAAGATCGATTCGACGAATCCCTCGTTGCTCAACTGCGAGCCGATGTGGAATACCATTTAAAGCGGCCATTAAAAGCAACACTACGAGAGACAAGAAGGGGGTTTTACAGTACTGACGAGCCTGAACTCTCCATCACTCTGTTGGAACGAGATTACCAACTCGAGTTCGATGATACGACTGTAGTACGTTATTAGTTTTGGTGTCTTGAGTCCTACGTACGGTCGAAGTGCGCTCAATTTGCTGCCTCAAATCGCTGCGCCCCATTTGGATTGCCCCATTGGATACGACACGGTGATCGATCAATGGACTCAGTACGTCCACTTTCGTGGAGCCATCGGGATGTCAATTTCTCGAGAGCAATCCATGTGCTCACACACTATCTACCACGAACGGACTCTGGCCGTCAAGAACGCCTTGAACGACACCCGCTTCAGCCACATGGGCGTCGTCAAGCAAACAGATGCCCGGTTCTACGCTGGTTTCCCGATCCGAGCGCCGGACAGCGCTATAGTCACTTGCTGCAGGATCCACGAACTCGTACTTGTACAAAGGTACTGGGTTCACCAACTGACAAAGGGATTCCGGAGCTTGTGAATGTTTACTCGGGTCATCTAAGTACAATTGGTCCGTGAGCTCCTCCACCCAGCTCGAGTCAGAAGTCATTAAAGCTGTATCTCCACCCACATCCACGTGGAACTTGTCATCGTTGTATCACAATGCGTCATTGTGCTCGATCTGTTCCAACCGCTACCGCTTATTCCGTTGCGACTTCTTCTGGCATTTGTGTGGTAACATGGTGTGTGGAGATTACTCCCAAATGTACGAGGTGGAAGCTCGCATGGGGGGAGCTTCGATGCAATCGATAATGTCTACAATGCGTACACCGTGGTGACACATGTGTGTTTGACGATGAAGGAGACTTTGGGCATGCAGTTGTACCTGTATTGCCGGATCGTCGTACCCCATAGGGAAGTAGATGAATGTTTGGAAACCAAAGCGACGACGACGAACTGCCCTTTCAAATTGACAGAGAGACGTTCAGGACGTGTATAGCTTCGGGGTTCATGATACTTTCACGTCTACGAGCGATATATTGAATGGGTTTGAATCCATTGCAGACATGGAGCTCATTGAATACTCCGTGGTGAATGCCACAGCGAATGCGATCTTAGCTGTCGGATCTTCGTGTAAGAACAAATGGAGCCCAGTTGTGGGATCATTGAGCAGGCTGCTAGCACCAATAACACCTGGTTAAAGTCCAATGACCAAGAAAAGATGCCTCCAAACGAAGATCCATTCAGTGTTCCTGCTACGAATAAGTCCATGATGCTCCTGTCATTGTCGCAGCGTTGATGGACGCTTGAGCGTGTCCTCTAGTAGGCAGTGGCTCTCTCCGGGTAATTTCCCCACGACTGTTCCAGAGGTCGGCTTTCTAGTGCAGTCTCGTGCCCCGTCATTCCACGACATCATCAACCAGATACAGCACCTCTTTACCCACCACTGGACTTTGAAAAGCGCTGTCACGTCATTTGGAAATTGATTCAAAGCCGAATGCTGTTCCGGCGATTGAAGCGAACTGGGTGGATGTGGACTATGGGCTGAAGACGATCGTACTTGCTGTGTGGAGCTTGGCATTCATCGGATGAGTCGAAACAGATCTTGCGTAGATCCTGGGTGTATATCTATTGTGTGCCACGTTCTGGGTGATTGAATGTCGATGTCGCGAGTGTGGTGTGCACAGTGGTCGACGTGGTAAGAACCTGGAGCTCCCAGAAGTACATGAAGGTGGTAGCAGCTCCAGCAACTGCGCTACGTTTCCTTGTTCAGTTATTTCCTATCGTTGCTCCATGAATTTGACAGCAGTACAAATGGATTGCAGATAACATTTCGGAACACAGCGACTCCACTGGGAACTATTGCGTGTCTTGCAGTTCCGCTCGTGTGTGTCATTCAGAGTCATGTGCCGAGACCACTCCTGTTCTTCTGATTAACATATTACTTGCCTTTCGGATGGTCTCTCTAACGCTGCTGGACATCTTTTAGCTGTGCTGGAATCTCCGGTGCAGCAATTGGCAAGCGTCACAAAGAGCACGAAGACCTTCCTTGGCGCCTTTGGTGAACTGTTTCCAGTATTGTCGACGCTCAGCAGCCTCGCGCAGGCGACGCTGCCAATTATTCTGATGTGGATGGCCGACACCATTGGAGAACGTGCTATCGATTACATGACCAGGAGCTAATGTTTCACTGGCAACCAAAGTGATAGAAGACAAACACAA